GGAAACCTAACATAGTTGTACTCGCTAAGGAGTACCTCACTGGAGCCTATCACAATAATAAAATGTGTTTTTTTAGGGGGGTGCGCTTATAATTGAGTAAAAAAATTAAGCGCATTTGCTAATAAAATGACAATTACAAAATATATAATTTACACGCACCGAATTGTACATCTCAGTCTTGCGATCTCAATCAAAACGAAATTGTAGAGAGACAGAAGTCAGAATCGTGTCAAATAATTGTCAAACATACATTGTTAGGCTGTAGTGGGTTACTCCCTACGGGGTACAACCCTTGTTAGGGTTAGTACTTGTACCACATTTCCTGCTTAGTCAAACCATTCCCGTTTTACCTAGTTCTCACATGGTATAGAGCATGTTGCTCCTTAGGACATGGGCCCACCGTTAGTTACTCTCCTTCTACTGCCCGAATCGCGCCCCTAGGACGCGTCGTTTTTTCCCTGCCCGAATCGCGCCCCTAGGTGCGTCCTTTTTTCCTGCCCAAATCGCGCTCCTAGTGGAGTCGGTTTTCCTGCCAGAATCGCGCCTCTAGGCCGTCGATTTTCCTGTCCGAATCGCGCCCCTAGGAACGCCGATTTTCCTGCCCGAATCGCGCCCCTAGGCACGTCAATTCCCTGCCTGTCGCTCGCCCCTAGGGCGCTGCCGTTTATTCTGCCCGTGCGCTGCCTGCTCTCGCCCGGCTCTCGTGCTGCCCGCACGCGCTGCCCGTCAGCAGCCCGCACGCCGCCCGTGCAGCCCGCACGCCGCCCGCGCAGCCCTGTGCCGCCCGCGCCCGCCTGCACCCTGCACTGCCGCGCCCTGTGCTGCCCGCTCGCTGCCCTGCTGCGCTGCCTGTGCCACCAGCTAGCGCCCCTGCCGCTGCGGACTGCCCACTACTGAGCGCGCTGCCCTGCACACTGCACTGCAGCGCGCTGCCCTGCCCTGCCCTGCGTGCGCCCTGCCTGAACCGCCCGCGCATTGCCCTGCGCCGCCTACTCACGCCCCTGCCCTGCCTTGCTTGCGCTGTCAAGCCGCCAGCTCGCGCCCCTGCTGCACTGCCTGCACCACCAGCTCCCGCCGCTGCCCTGCCCTACTTGCGCGCCTGCTGCTGCTGCCTGCACCACTAGCTAGCGCGCCTGCTGCTGCTGCCAGCCGAGCCGCCCAACCGAGCCGCCTAGTCGAGCCGCCCGATCGAGCTGCCCTTCCGAGCCGCCCAACCGAGTTGCCCTGCTGAGCCGCCCCCCCTTGCACTAGTGTTGCCCTTGCCATTTTGCACCAGTCCAGCAGCTACTGCCGCCCTTATTGATGCTCCTGCTACTACTGTTGCTACTGCTGCCACTACCGTTCCTCCTGTTATGGCGACCCCTACTGTGCTCACCTTTGACGGCGAGGGTCACCCGGTAGACTTTGAGTCCTGTCTAGATGATCTCCACTGGTACCTGCAGAGCTAGACTAGGGAGGATGTCTCTCTCTTTGAGCATACCTCGGGGTCCCTCAATGCCCCTCCTGACTCAGCAGCTCGTGTAGATCAGTCCAAGTGGACTTCTCGTGATGCTACTGCCGCTCTTGCTGTCCGTAGCCACCTTCTGCTAGACCAGCGCTCCCACTTTCGCCAGCTTAAGACGGCCAAGGCGCTTTACGACGCTGTAGTCAAGCGCTACTTGTCCCCGTCGTCTGCCACTGTAGGCCGCCTGGCGGTGCCGTTCCTCTTTCCTGAGTTGTCGAACTTCACCACTGTAGCCGACCTCCTGGCTCATCTGCGCTCCCTTGAGCCCGCCTTTAGGGCTGAGAACAAGCCACTCATTTATCTCACCCTTTTGCTTTCTCACGATCGCCTCGTTGACTTCCTTCGTGCTGTACGCGACCACTTCCTTGCTCTAGACCCCACGAAGATCACCCTCGCCTCGTTTGAGTCCCGTCTCTTAGAGGCTGAGTCCGCTGCCCTAGCTGCCGCTGCCTCTCGTGGCACTCCCCTCCCCTCTGTCTTTGAGGGGTGCTCCCCCTCCCTGCTCGCGCCGTCTGTTGCCTCTGGTGCTGCTATAGGCCTCTTCGGTGCTGAGGAAGTCGGTGCTGCGTCTGCTCCTAGTGGGAGGCGCCGCAGCGGCAAGGGCAAGGGTGGCAAGGGTGGGGGTGGCGGGGGTGGTGGGGGTGGCAGGGGCAGCGGTGGTGGCGGTGGAGGTGGTGGTGGTGGGGGAGGAGGAGGCGGAGGCGGCAGAGGAGGAGGAGGGGGTGGTGGGAGCAGTGGGGGTGGTGGAGGGGGTGGGGGTGGCACTAGGGGTGGAGCTGGCGGAGGAGGGGCTGGAGGTCCGGCCACTCGTTCAGCTGCGTCTGGTGGTGCAGCGGGTGGTGGAGGTGGCTCTGGGGGTGGTCAGCAGCAGCAGCCGAGCCGACAGGCGCAGCTCTCGCCGCAGCGGCTTCGTGAGTGGGCGATCCGACGTGGCAGCTCAGGTGGCCCAGCTCGCTGCGGGTACGTCCGTCGTACAGGTCAGCCTGGAGCGACCTGCACTCGCACCGACCACACCGAGTCTTGTTGCTTCTTTCGCCTCGACAATCTGTATCGTGCGGAGCATGGTGAGCACATGACGACTCCAGACTGGCTCGCCTTGCTGAAGAAGGACATAGATGTTTTTGCTTGTGACTGGGCTGTGATCCATGCTGGCATGTATGCAATGTATGCTGCTTCTGCTAGTGCTGTAGATGACTGTTACTTGTGTGTGCCTAGAGTTGCTAGGGTAGAGGCTGCTAGACTTGGTGCTTTTGACTCAGCTAGCACAGGTGCAGAGCCGGAGGAGGCCTTGCACACTTTTACTCTCGACTCAAGCGCGTCTCGTTGCTTCTTCCGCGACAGCACCACAGTCACACCGCTAAAAGCCCCTGTCCCTGTCACACTGGCCGACCGCTCCGGGGGCCCGGTAGTCGCGCGTGGCGCTACTGTTCTCCCTTGTCCGGCGGTGCCTTCTGGCCTCCTCACAGGTCCCCACCTCCCCTCGTTCGCTAAGAACTTGGTGGCTACCTCTATCCTCCAGGACCAGTGGGTCACTGTCACCCAGCCTGGAGGAGTGCTCGTGGCGATCTGTACGGACTCGCGCACGGGTGAGCACCTTGCCACGTTCACTCGGAGGCCTGGGTCTGGCCTGTACACACTGACCACTGAGTCAGGTCAGGTAGCTGCGTCGATTGAGGTCGCTGCGTCTTGTTCGTGTCGTCTCCTCACGCACCAGACTCTCCTCTGGCACCACCGTCTTGGCCACCCCTCCTTGCCACGCCTGCGTGGCATGCACTCCCGTCTCCTTGTGTCTGGTCTCCCCAGGTCCCTGCCCCCGCTTCCGAGGTCGCTTGCACCGCCCTACCTTCCCTTCGTCGAGGGGCGGCAGCGCGCCGCTCCTCACTCCTCCTCGTTTCCTCCTACCACTGCTCCTCTCCAGACCCTCCACATGGACGTGTGGGGCCCCGCCCGCGTCACTGGAGAGGGTGGCGAGCGCTACTTTCTGCTGGTTGTAGACGATTACATGCGCTACACCACGGTCTTCCCCTTGCAGAGCAAGGCGGATGTCCGCGGTGTCTTGATCCGATGGACCCTAGTTCTCACAATAATATATATTTGTATCAACTGCCTGTAGCATAACCTAGTGTAGCTATCTTTCCTGTTAGGTGGTGCACCTCTCATTGCTTTGATTCTTGTATAACTTGGGCCTTTGGCCCTTTAGTGTAACCCTTCTTCTTTGTTTCATCATCTCGACACTTCCTTGCCTAGCCCAAAACCCTAGGCTACTCCTTCTAAGTTATGAGGCTACTTTAACAAATCGAGCGAGGGCGATTCTCTGCCGGCGCACAGAGCTTTAGCACGTCACTTTGCAGGCGTGCCAGCTCATCCTGACTGGACGCGCAACTAGTGAAACCCTCCAGAGAGTCAAACATTGTGAAAATGGATGTGACTCGCTGCAAAACTGAAATTCGTTACTGTTTTAAAACCAGGGTGCACATTCATTCCGATTTCATAAAAGGTTATCCCTTGACCAGACGAGTTACTAGGTTTCCCGATTGTGGAGGTGGGGAAAACATTTTCCCGCTTAGCGGAAGAAAGCGGAGTGGTTCAGAGTGGTATTCCCCCCTCTATTCACCCCACTCCAATTTCCCACACATCTTGACGGCCACATCGAATGTTTGTGTACACATGATGCCCAACCCCTGCACGCGAATTTGCCCTGCACCGGATGGAAACCTTGCACCCTAGGTTTTTTCCCCAGCCAGTTACACGCACGTTACAAGCACGTCGCGCAAGTTGCAGTGGTTCTGAACCAATAATAACGAACGGACCGAAGTCAAACTGAAGAGACTGAAGTCAAAATGTCAACGGAAAAGTTACAAATCTTTTATAAGCACCTGACGAATCCTATTTTGCTAGCTGCGAATTGACGAAACTTATGCGAAATGCACGTGACAGCTTATGCGCCCCCTTCACAAGGCAACCGGGAGTGGCTCAAACGGGCATCATGTGTACTTCTTTCTCGACCTGCCTATGCTTGGTGAAAGGCAGCACGTAACTAGCGTAGACCGCCCCATTTCCTCGCGATATGGATTTCGTCTGGCGATTCTCTGCTCGACTGACCGCGTCGCACAGCAGCCCTTGCAGCATTCCCGCCATTTCGGCGCCGCACGAGGCGCATAATGGGGTCGAGAGTTAGGGTTAGAAGCAAGAAACTCGTCGCGTATTCTCTGCCGCGACGAGAAGACTCCAAGCGTAATCTGACACAACATTCCCCGCCTCCCATGCCGTATTCATCTCGCTGACCTTCACTAAAGAAAGTGCGGCCCCAAGGCCGCGCCTACAGCTAGTGTGCGCTCCGCGTCATTGAAGGAACGCGTCAGCAGCGTCTCCCCTCCTCCTCGCCACCGCGCCACCTCGCTTCCGCATCTCCTCGCATCCGCCACATACATTCTCAGCAACTCCTCACGTCCGCTAGTCCTATTCTCTGCGCCTCCTCGCCTCCGAACCGCCTCGTATGCACGCCTCCACGCTTCCGCACCTCCTCGCCTACGCGCCTCGTCGCTTCCGCACCTCCTCACATCTGTGCCTCCTCGCTTCCGAACCGATTCGTCTCCACGCCTCCCCGCTTCCGCACCTCCTCGCATCCGCGCCTCCTCGCCTCCGAACCGCCTCGTCTCCACGCCTCCACGCTTCCGCACCTCCTCGCCCACGCGCCTCGTCGCTTCCGCACCTCCTCGCATCCGCGCCTCATCGCCTCTGCACTTCCTCGCCTCCACGCCGCCTCCAGCTGCGGCACCTCCTCGCCTCCGCACTCGCCACGCTTCCGCGCCACCACGCCTCCGCGCATCCTCGTTACCGCGCTGCCACGCCTCCGCGCCTCCTCCTTTCCGCGCCTCCTCGCGGTAGCGCCACCTCCCCACCTCGCCTCCGCGCCTCTTCGCAGGAGCGCCACCTTGCCTCCTCGCCTCCGTACCTCCTCGCTTCCACGCCAAGTTTCCACCCCGCCAGCACGCCACCGCACCAGGGTGCCCTTCCCCACCGGGGTGCACGAGCAGCTGCAGAACCGACCCTCGCATCCTCGCCACCACGCCTCCTTGCCTCTCTGCCTCCTCGCCTCTATACCTCCTCGCCTCTCTGCCTCCTCGCATCTCTGCCTCCTCGCCTCCACGCCTCCTCGCCTCTCTACCTCCACGCCTCCAAGCCTCCTCGTCTCCGCTCCTTACCATTTTTCCTCCCCCTCATCTTGCCCTCCCCTGACCCCTGCAGCCTCACACACTCAACGCACCGGTCCTCCCACCAGCGCTTCTCCCACCACTCAGCCCTCCCGTGTCCTCCCACCAGCGCTGCTCCCACCACTCAGGTAAGGTATGAGCTGTTTTTGGACTTCACACTAATACTAACCAATTTTTCTTGCAGACATATATCGCGAATGGAAACCTGACGCCACTACTGGAACGCCTCTACTCTCACGCCTCTGTCACGCCTCTACACTCACGCCTCTACACTCACGCCTCTACTCTCACGCCTCTACTCTCACGCCTCTACTCTCACGCCTCTGCTCTGACCCCTCTGCTCTGACCCCTCTACTCTCGCGCCTCTACTCTCACGCCTCTACTCTCACCCCTCTACTCTCACGCCTCTACACTCACGCCTCTACTCTCACCCCTCTACTCTCACGCATCTACTCTCACCCCTCTACTCTCACCCCTCTACTCTCACGCCTCTACTCTCACGCCTCTACTCTCACCCCTCTACTCTCACGCCTCTACTCTCATGCCTCTACTCTCATGCCTCTACTCTCACGCCTCTACTCTCACGCCTCTACTCTCACCCCTCTACTCTCACCCCTCTACTCTCACGCCTCTACTCTCACGCCTCTACTCTCACGCCTCTACTCTCACCCTTCTACTCTCACCCCTCTACTCTCACGCCTCTACTCTCACACCTCTACTCTCACGCCTCTACTCTCACCCCTCTACTCTCACCCCTCTACTCTCACGCCTCTACTCTCATGCCTCTACTCTCACGCCTCTACTCTCATGCCTCTACTCTCACCCCTCTACTCTCACGCCTCTACTCTCATGCCTCTGCTCTCACCCTTCTACTCTCACCCCTCTACTCTCACGCCTCTACTCTCACGCCTCTACTCTCACCCCTCTACTCTCACGCCTCTACTCTCATGCCTCTACTCTCACGCCTCTACTCTCACGCCTCTACTCTCACCCCTCTACTCTCACGCCTCTACTCTCATGCCTCTACTCTCACGCCTCTACTCTCACCCTTCTACTCTCACGCCTCTACTCTCACACCTCTACTCTCACGCCTCTACTCTCACCCCTCTACTCTCACCCCTCAACTCTCACGCCTCTACTCTCATGCCTCTACTCTCACGCCTCTACTCTCATGCCTCTACTCTCACCCCTCTACTCTCACGCCTCTACTCTCACGCCTCTACTCTCACGCCTCTACTCTCACCCTTCTATTCTCACCCCTCTACTCTCACGCCTCTACTCTCACGCCTCTACTCTCACCCCTCTACTCTCACCCCTCTACTCTTGCCGGTCGCTCTCATCTGTGACCTCACCTCTTCCTCATTACTCTCCCATCCTTACTGCAGGTGCTCCGCCCTGACCCTTGTTCCTCCTCCCGGTGGAGGTGATTAGCTTCCCCCCCCTTTCCGCTCGTGTCGGCGTGCACGAGTCCCGTCAGGATTGCACTTACTCTCGCATGCCCACATGTAACGAACTTGATTACCAAGATCGCACTGCCCTTCCCTGCACTGCCTACTCTTTCCTTCAAGCCCTCCAATCTCCAATATGCCGGCACTTCAACTCCTTTGTACCGCTTTTTAACCGGTCCCTCCTTTCGACTCTTTCCAGTGGTCTGCGCTCCCCTTCCCTGATTTCCTAGGGAACCATGTGTTGTCATGTCCTATGTGTCAATGCTCATGCTCCCCCAATCCCCTGCCTGCCTTCTCTCTTTGCCAGCTTGTTCTGTCTGTGTGCCTGCTTGTATGTGTGCTTGCGTGCATGCATGTGTGTGTGTGCGGGTTGGGTGGGTGGGTGTGGTTTAAGATGCAGGCGAAGCAGCGGCAGCAGTCCGAGCAGGGATGATTCTGAATGATGGACCAAGCGCTGCAGCTGCTGCCCTCTGCGGTGCGTCCCTCCTGCATTCTAGCATGTGCGCCGAGTGTTAGTGTGGCAAAGAGGCCGGGAGGCAAAGAAACAGTCCTCCGTTGGGTCTCAGGCATTCATGCTGGGGCTTGTCAGTTGCTCTTGCCTTCTTCCGCGTGCCCCGCATGCTGTCACAACGCCAAATGGATTGCCCCATCCCCCACTCCGACTTGTCAAAGCTCCCACGATTGCTCCTTCCCCATCTCGCCAGCTCTCCTTCCCACCCTTGCACCCCCCTATCCCGTTGCCTTGCGTCCTCCTTTCCTCATCTCCCCTCACCCTCTCCACTCCTCACCTCACATCCTCGCAACCATGCCCGCTGTACCCTCCACACCACAGGTGCCGCCTGTCATCAACAACCTCACATCGCCATCTGGCATGCACATGCGGGTAGGTATGGGTGTGCACTCTTCATCCCCTCTCTCCCCACTTCCTCCCCTAATTCCTCTCTTCCTCGCCTTGGCTCTCCCAGTCTGCCCTCTCACTTCTCATTCCATCCTCTCTCCTCCATGCCCTCCAATCTCCTCAAGGCAACCATTCTCTCCTCTCTGTTCTGCCTCTTTCACCCGTGCCCTCCATTCTCTATCATCGACTCCCCTGCCGACTGCCCGGTTGCTGACGGCTCCCCTGTCAGCTTCACAGCATGCTGCTCCCCTGTCGGCGGCTTCCCTGCTGGAGCTTCCTTCTCGACTCCCCGCTGCTCCCCTGTCGTCGGCGTCTTCCCTTTCACACCGACTGGCTTGACGTCACGTCGGCCGCCGGCGATGCCACTGGTCGGCGCCACAGGCGACGTCCCACTGCTCCCCTCATCGCCGGGGGCCGACGTCGGCATCAGCTCATGCAGGTCGGCTACGAGGGGTGGGGTAGCAGGAGTAGGTGGAGGGGAGAAGGGGGGGAGGACGTCCTCGGCGTCCTCATCAGCAGGTTCACCGACCTCGGCGAGCAATGGGAGTGTCGCCGTCGAGGTGTCCGTCGGCGGGTTGACCTACATTCGCCCCGACGCCGGCCCGTGCTCCGACTTCCACACCTCCAGCAACATTGTCTCTTAGAACACCACGTCTGACGTGGTGACCACCTTGTTGTCGGTGAGGTCGAGGACCTCCCGACCCTTGCTTTTTTCCGACACGCCTCGGTGAAGGCCCCACCGGGCCTTACGCGCCAGCTTCCCGCCGCGCTGCTGCTCGAAGACCAGGAACTGTGCCATGCAGCCCCACACGCGTGCCAGCGTCAAGTCGGACTTCTTGCCGGTCAGCAGCTGGTACGGCGTCGTCCCCTTTGGCAGTCTCGACCTCTCCAAGCAGTTACGCACCCAGAACCTGCCGCAGGGCGAGGTGCCACCAGTGGTGCCGCACACCCATGTGCAGCAACATCGTCCTCACCGACTCGACCACCGTGCTCATCTCCCGCTCCGCCATGCCGTTCTGCTGCGGGGTGTATGGCCAGGCTAGGTCGTGGACGATGCCCTTGCTGTCCACGAAGTCGGTGAATTGCTTCCCGAGGAACTCCCCCCCCGCGTTCAGAGCGCAGCATCAGCACCGACTTTTTCGTCTGCCGCTCAGCCACCAGCAGCCACATCTCGAACTCCCGCAGCACGTCGGACTTCTTGGCGACCTGCCTCACCCACACGTAGCGAGTCTTGCAGTAATCAGGAGCAAGAAGTATAGGCTGCCATCCTTGGCTGCCACCAGGAACGGCCCGCACAGGTCTATGTGCACGACGGCCAGGGCGTCGTCGGCGTCCGAGCCCTTGTCTGGGAAGGTGTGCCGCGCCAGCTTCCCGCCGACGCACGAGACACACGGAGAGTCGTTGTCGGCCGACGGCTTGACGTCCAGGCCAGTGGCGACCTCGTGCTTCGCCGAGCTCGTGACGGTGTCGACGTCGACGTGAGCAAGCCTCGCGTGCCACGTGGTCGGCGTCGACTTTGTCGCCGTGGCGATGGTCTGCAGGGCCACTGTCTCCGTCGTGGCCGTCTTCGACGTTGGCGTGCAGGGTCGCAGGTCGGTGCAGAAAACTCGGCCAGTGTACTTCGCCCGACCAAGCACGTCCCCCGCTGCCGTGACGAGCAGCATCTCGTCGCCGTCATCCTGCAGCTTCATACTGCTCTCCTGCAGCTGTCCGGCTGACAGCAGGTTCGCTTGCACACCCGAAACGTAGAGGATGTTGGGGATGAGCACCTGCTTCCCGGCCTCTCCTTGCAAGGCGGCGGTCCCGCGGCCCTGGACGGTCTGCAGCGCCCCATTGAAGCCGCGCACATGCTTGACATCGCCCCTCGGCCCCAAGTCGACGAAGACCTCCTTCGTCCCCATCAGGTGGTGCGAGCAGCCGCTGTCGAGTAGAACCACTGCCGAGTTCGCCTGCACGGCGTCCGGCACCGCCTGGAAGTCTTCGCCGGCCTTCGACGCCAGCGAGACAGTCGGCTCTACGACGCCGACCAGCGAGCACGACGCCTCCCCGTCGCTTCGCCCCTTGCCGCTGGAGGGGGAGTCGGCGTCCTTCGCCGACGTCGTCGACTGGTCGACTGCTTCTCCTTGTGCGGCTTGCTCTCCCGACGTGGGCGACGACCAGTCGACCTCCCGCGGCCTCCCTTGGTCTCGTCGTCGTCGGAGTCCTCGCAGTCGGGACACTCGAAGAAAAGGTGGTCGGGGTCGTCGCAGACCCAGCATTCTCGCCGTCGACCACCACCTCCTCGACCGCCATCCCGAGCCGACTTCGCCGCGTCCTTGGCCGGCCGTCCACCTCCGCTACCACGGCCGCTAGGCTTGCAACGCTGCCCCGGTCGACTTCCTTGCTTCGTCGCGGCGACGTAGTTCGCCTGCGGTAGGAGCTCCGTGGACTTCTTGACCTCCTACATTGCCTCGTCCCAGATGATGTGCGAGGTCAGTGTGTCCTCGTTGAGCGACTCCCGCATGCCCGACATCACCATCAAACGGCGCATCAGGTTGTAGCCGCTCGGGAGCCCCTTGAAGACGTGCGTGATGTACGACGCCATCGAGTAGTCGACGCCGGCCATCCACATGTTGGCAAGGAGCCGCCGAGCTCGGTTGCAGTAGTCGGTTGCCCTAACCTGCTCGCCCATCCTCAGGTGCGTCAGCTGCTCCTCCAGCTGGCCGATGTATAGGTCGTCGGTGGCCTGCTACGTCGACCTGATGAACCGCCACGCCTGGTGACCGGTGTCCAGGTGACTCCGGCACGACTTCAGGGCGATCTGTATCACCGGCGAGCAGCACCGCGATATGACTATGAAGGTCAGCAGTTGAACGGCGCGAAACTCCGCACACAGCTCGGCGTTGTGCTCTGGCGGCGTCTCCACGTCGCCGTCGGCGAACACATCAGGCCGGCCATCTCCAGCTGGGGCTCGATGGACTCCTTCCACGTGATGAGGTCGTGGCGACCAACCAGCGGCACGGGGACAGCGATCTTGTCCGGCGAGAACTTGAAGTAGCTGTAAGTCGGCGTTATCCCGCCCGCCGTCACGTGGGTCGCCGACGCCGGCGTCACACTTCTTTGACGTCCACCGACGTCGACTTGCAAGGTACCCGCAGCCGCCGAAGACTGCAAACCTCGCGCCTGGGTCCCGCCGACTTCACCGTCAACGGCTCTCCTGGTCACTCCTCTCGGCCTCGACGTGCCTCCCGCACTGCTGCCGACTTGGTCACCACAGTCGGCGCCCTCGTCGACGCCGCCGTCGTTGCGCACCGGTCAAGGAGAACCAAGTCGGGAAGGGTGTTCCATCGCCCACTTTGCATGGATGCCCAACTCGACGACCTCCAAGGGGAGGGTCGACCCGAACTCGCCAGCCTCGTGGCGTCTCCTCGCGTCAGCTAATTGTGTCTCCAGCCTATCTTCTACCACGCCGGGTACCACCGGGACGGGCGTCATAGTCGCACGAGCTGCCGGCCTACGAACGACTTAGTAGGTGCAAAAGTCGGCTACTACTCTGAAGGAATCTGCGGGGCCGCCCACGCTTACCGCACCATGCAGAGATAAACTCTACAACGGGAGCTAGACTATGGGGGAAGGCATGATTGTGAGAGTGATCGTAACGTTCCTTAGCGTTCTCTGCCACTTGCGTGTTCACGGGGCAAAAAGGCAAGAGTTTCACTAGAGAAAGTTCATAACAATGGTTGCAACAACATTGGCAAGAATGACTACACCAGGAGCAAGTCTGCCTAAGATGCAAGCAGGTCGACCTCCAGCACAGCATGGTCGACCGCCTTCCAGCGCAGCATGGTCGACCGCCTTCCAGCGTAGCAAAGTCCACACCGCTCCAGCGCTGCAGAAAGACGACTTGTCAACGTTGCAAGTCGACGGCGTGCCAACGCTATCCAGCGTTGCACCCGCAGGTGACAGCAGCGCACCTACTTCGCAGGTACTCGCAGTTGGTTGGCGTGCTGTGCACCGTCACGTGCACAGTGCAGACGCCAAGTCGACCACGTGCCGTCGACGTGCCTGATCAGCCACGTCGACCTCGGGATACCCAACTCCTAGGTTAACTTCGCCAGGACCACCTGGGCGACTGTCGCTCATCTCCGCAGAACCCCGTCGCCTGGGTAACTTGGTCGACCGGGCAACCATGTCGACAAGTGCTGCTCCTCGTGCCCGTCGACTGCTAGGTCGACGACCACCTTCTGCCGACTTCACGAAGTCGGCTACTCCCCCAGGTCGACCACTTCTGGTCGACCAGGCCTACTAGTCGTCGACTGCACCCAACCGGCTTCCCCAGGTCGGCGCCATGAAGTCGGCGCCCTTCCCAGGTCGACGAGCCCCGTCGCCGACCACCCGTAGAAATCGGCCATCAGCTTCCCAAAGTCGGTGGCTTTGCAGCAGGCCCTCAGAAGTCAGGAAAAAAACGCTGATTTGCCCTTGAAAAACTTTTTTCCAGAGTTTTTATGGGGCCTAAGGCTGATTGGAAAGTGTTTTTTTCCATGTAAGGACTGATTTTTCAGGCAAGTTATTTGTACCAACACTGAAATTTCAGGCAAGTTTCATGTACCAACACTGATTCGAAACAACACTAACGAAC